GGATTGAACCTTGGGGTTCCCCACATGTGACCTTTGACCTCTCTGATGAGAAGTTTCTGATTGAAACAAAGAAATCCCTTTCTTTCTTTTCAATCGTAACTCTTCTCAGTTTTTCTATGAACGTCTTGTGCTGCCTTCAGGAGAATGGGACATCGGAGTATCATTGATTAAATTTCACCCACATGGTATTTGCTGTGTAAACCATTCCTCTTAATGTCATACAAACATGGAGCTGTGCCACAAAATGAACAAAACCATCGAAGAGCAGGAGAGTCACCATCAATACAGTTCCAGTCATGCAGGTTTACAATTAATATAACCTCAAAAATAAAAAGGAAACAGTCGATTCTACAATTTAACATTTCTATTCATCAACCATCACATGTTACATTTCCACTCCTGATTAAAGTTCACATAAAACAATGAAGCAGAACTAATGAGGGAAAATGTTTTAAATGTTATTAGATATCAGTTTTAATTTGATGAACAGGTTGAAACATTAATGAAGGTTTAAAACTGATCATCAATAAAACAAGAAAAAAGAAACAATCAGTGGAGAAGTGAAATAAACTCTGAAGTAAAACAATTTGATTTGACTTTATAACTAATCAGAAGCTGAAAATGAAGAATAAAATAACTGACTTCCTGCTGAGGTCGTTTCCAAGCTCTGCTCGCCAGCAGCTGGACTTCACCTGCAGAGTCACTCAGATTCATCAGAGGAACAATCAGCCTGGTTAACAGGACAGATGATCAGAGGAGCAGAGTTTTTACCTCCAGCATTAAGGCTAGGACTGAAGAATGGGTAGAGTTTCTCCTTGAAGCTGCAGCCAGTAAAGGAGTAGATCAGAGCTGCAGCATCTACATCATAGAAGGAGACCAGACCCTCCTCATAATCCACAAACACCCCGACCTTCTGAGGACCAGGATGGAGATGGAGATGGAGGTGGACATCAGGGCCATCAAGAGCTTCATACTCATTTCCATTTCTCAACCAAACAGTCCAGAAACCGTTCTGAGGACTCAGTGCGATCTCTCCCTTCCTGCTGATGGATTCTCTGGCCACTCCTAAATCCCAGTCAGTCTTTCCTTTAACCTGAACCTCAAAGTAAAATCTGCCTGAAGAGAAACTCTGCTGTCCTAAAACACATGGACACTGATCAAATCTCTCTGGCTTGTCTGGAAGATTATTCATCACATCTCCATGTTTCACCTGTTTTCCATCCTCAGACAGGATGAGGTGACGATGAGCCGTATCAGGATCCAGAGTCACATCC